CTGTACCTGAACCAGCACCAAAGAGTAAGGTATCTATAGATCTAACTATAGCAAAATAAAAACTTTATTGCATGTTTTGAGAGAGTGACTTAGAGCTCTTTTCTAGAATGAGTTATAGAAGTCCTTCTAAAAATAATTTTACAAAAAAATTATTTGTTTTCTATTTAGTGTTCCATGCCTAAATTAGTTTAATAAATATTATTAAATGTTGCTTGAAGCCAGTTCTGTAGCTGAGTGGTTATTGAGATTAGATTATCTTCCTAAATGATTGCAGTTCACACACTCTATAATCGGTCTCCTGAGTTCCATTTTTGACAGGGCTGTGACTTTGTTCAAAATTGAACAGTCAGATAGTGCAGCCATGGGTGTTTTATCCTTTTATGGAGGGGAAAGATTTTTTTCAATTTCTCAAATTAGATTTTTTTTGTAATAAAAATGAATCTGAAAATTGAGAGTGATGGAAGACTAAACAAAATTTGTGCATCATTGAAATTCTGGACAGCCTTCAGGGATTCAGAAAATTAATCAGCATTCTAAAGAGGAAGTCCCTGATACTATTATCTTATCTGCAGGCTGCAGAAATCCTTAAAATTATTCTCATTAGTGCCTAAAACATGATGTATCTTTCACTAGTTGAAACTTTTTGGTAAAATTGTGCCCTAGATTTGTGTACACAGCAAGGGTGCAATATGAGTGTTAGATTGACTATTAATGTTGTATTCCTTTCCTTATAGATCCATACCAGGAGTAAAAATACAATTAAGCAATAGTTATAAGAGTTGTATATTTCAGGATAAATGTTGATCAGCTGCAGCTCTTTGACTTCAGGGAGGTATGAAGTCAACAAAAGCTAAGGTGCAGTAATAATGGAGACAGGAAAACAAACACTCGTGTAAATGGTACGCCACAATCTGCAATACTTGGTGCAGACTGAAGCAAGTGAATAAAGATTCAGCTGTAAACTATTAGAGTATTTTCTCAGATGAAGGGGAAAAATAATATCAGATGACAACCTAGCTTTCAAACATATGGGCTGTGTCTACATTGGCACCCTTTTCCGGAAAAGGGATGCTAATGAGACCAGTAGGAATAAGGGATCTTCCGGAAAAGGGCTTATTTTCCGCAAGATCCCGTCTAGACTGGCGCTTTTCTCCGGCAAAACCCCGAGCCGGAAAAAAGCGGCAGATTTAAATCCTCCGCGGCATTTGCAATTCCGACTGGTCTCATTAGCATCCCTTTTCCGGAAAAGGGTGCCAATGTAGACACAGACATGGTGTGTAAGGGACATACTTCCAGCCTCTTGACTATGGAGGACATTGGTAGGTACAATGCCTTGGGGTAGTGGAACTACTAGGGAGAATATGTACTAGCCTGCTATCCATTAAGTTGCCTGTGGGCCTTGCTGCTCTGTACTAAGGGTATGTCTAGATTCCAAGAAGACACCTTCAACTAGACACCTTCAACTGTGTCAGCTGACTCAGGTCATAGAACTATAAAATTGCAGCACAAAAAGAGATCCACAAAGCACAGGCTCCAACCCAAGCCTGAAATCTGCATGGCAATTTTATAGCCTCATACTCCAAACCCAAGGCCGCTCACAAAGGTCAGCCATTGGTGCTTTACTGAAGTGTAGACATACACTAAAAATTTTCAGAAGGGTAGCTATGTTAGTCTGTAACTTTAAAAATGAGTAATCCTGTGGCACTTCAGGACTAACAAAAATATATAGGATCATGAGTTTTTGTGGGTAAAACCCACTTCATCAGATAAGTTGGAGTAGAAATAGCAGAATCCAAGATACGTACAACAGCAAAAGCAGTTACCTATTAATTGTAATTAATTAACTAAATATTTTGTAGTGCACATAGACATCTTTTCCGTTCATCAAAGGACACTATAGAACTTTCAGTGGCAGGGTCCACATATCAACTTAATGCATGGCAAATTAGTGTCCTTTACATTCAGGTGAGTCAGCATCCTTGCCAGGGCCTGGGGTAGAGGGTTGGGGGGAGAGGAGTGGAAGTGGTTCTATGCTCCCAGAAGGGTGGGGTGGGGGCATCCTACCCATAGTGCCATTTGGAGTACCACTCCACCCTCCCCATCGCTGTCTAGGGCCCTGCAGTATGCTTTAGCAGCGATTTAAAGGGTCTGGGGCTCTGGCCACTGCTGCTGAATTGCCAGGTCCTGGCAACAGTCCCCTTTGCCCACCCCCTGTCAGTGGGCCTGTGTACAGTCATACCCTGGCTTGCTGCTTACTATGTCTCTGAGATAGGCTCTTCAGTTTAGTGCTTTTGAAAACATCATCCATAAACCATATAAATCATATGTAAGGAGCACAAATTGTACTGACTCTCACTTAAGTATATTTGAGAATCCCTCCCCCACAGTATTGTCATTCTAACATAAAAATGTAATACATTTATATGAAAACGGAAACCACTGAGTTTTTTTTCTTTACTTAATCATGTCAAACTCATTTTAGGAAAAGTAAGATTGTTTTACCAGATCAAAGCATGGATCTGAGTCCAGTAAACTGTCTGTCACAGTAGAAGACTTGGAGAAAGCTGGCAACCTGGAGTGGGCTGTTCTGAAATAGCTTGCCCATATGAGAAGCTTATTTCTAACCCCTTCTCCCCCATCAAATAGAGGTTAACTCAAGTCTCTCAGTTGTTCCCTTGCATCAAAAAGCAAATAGCTTTATATTTGTCTATTTGCACTTCAAATGGCACCTTAGTCTTCCTAAATTCATGGTTGTGTATGGTCTGCTGTAATATATGGGCTTCACACTTGTCTTTGAGTTGGATTTCCAAGCCTCTGAGGGATACCAGTTTGGCTCACATGGCCTCTTGAATCTTGCCCTTTAACCCTAGTTTGTTTTGTTTTTGTTTTTGTTTTGTGTTCCTGCTTTAGTTGTGTTGTTTGTGCCTTCAGTGACTCTGCTATGATTCATTAAATAGCCTCCATGCTGAGAGTAAGGACTTTTGCTTCCTTACTTTTTACTTTAGGGCCTCTTCAACTAGATTTCTCTGTTTTGCTTTGTTCTTTAAATCTGTCATTCTGAAGTTCAGAAACCCACTACAGGAAAAGGCCTTTCCCAAAATTCTGATAAATCCTTGCATTCTTCATGTATAGTCCTTGCATGCATTCTATAGCCTGTACCATTTTGTATTATTAGCTTGGCTTTTCCTGTAAGCTTAGAGAGGTAAAACAAGAACATTCCAATTAAAATTTACTGTCATTTAATGATACTTAGGATAAAAATAATCACAAATAATATTCCATAATGACATGCCATTTTGTGAGGGATTCATGGGTTATGTAATTGTAAGCATCCAACAAGAGTTTGTAAACTGGGAGTTCCATGATTCTATAAGGAGGACAGAATACTGTAATCAGGGTCCACTAGGAGACTAAGAAAAATTCTGCAGTCTTTATTGCTAAGATTTCTGCTTTAATTTTCTTAAAGGTTGTGGGGGTTTGTTTTAAATAGATTTATTTGAGATTCCTGGACTACCAAATGGAGCACTCAAATGAATGCAAGAGAAACTTTGTAGCTGTGTATGATGGAAGCAGTTCCATTGAAAACCTGAAGGCAAAGTTTTGCAGCACAGTAGCAAATGATGTGATGCTGCGGACTGGAACAGGAGTTATACGGATGTGGGCAGATGAGGGTAGCAGACTCAGCAGATTCAGAATGTTGTTCACTTCATTTGTTGATCGTAAGTACATTCTCAGTTGTTATCTTAGTGTCCAAGTACTGCATGTATTTAAGAAAAAGCATCAGCTTTGTGTTATGAGCAGAGCACCAAGCATAACAAAAAATGTTGCTTCTCAATTCACACAATTCTCTCAATTCAGAGAGAACAAAGTACTCACTTTAATGTTCATGGGCACTGTTCCTGGGGAAAGATTCTCTTATAAAGGTCTGCCTTATATCTGAACCTAGTAATAGTCAATCTCAGACTCCAAGCCTTTTCTTACCAGGAGTTGCATAGCTAGGGTCATGCTACTGAGAATTCTCTGCCCCAGCACATAATCATGTAAATCTATATTCCCCCTGCTATGTTGCCTGTGGGTGGTGAGGCAGCCTTTGAATGAGTCAGGTCCCAATCTGTCAAGGACTCCATAGGTTAAGACAAGAACTGTGAACGCTGTTCTGAGATTTTGTATGAATTTTGTATTCAAAAGTTAATGATGCTCACAAGGCTTATTATTTAAAAGGACATTTTATGTGGGACTGCATTTAATAGTTTAATATGCTACCCCTTCTGTGTACTTTACCCCAGATATGGCTGAGTTTTATAGCTTTAATCTATTCCCATGTGTATACATATCCATATCACGCCACATAATTTGAAACAGTTGGCAGGGTCACTATAGGAGAGGTCTGAGCATGGAACCGTAGAGCAGGCATGAGATATGTTGGAAGACCAATATAGGAAAGCTAGTGCAAAGCTTTCAGACTCTATGCCTGCTATGTCACTCCAGTGCAAACATTCTTGCATTTTTCCTAATGTTGATTTTACAGCAAATGTGACCTGAATAATAGAAATTGTATAGGTTTGGGTGTTTAAAAAAAAAAAAGCAAAATTAATTGGCAATGCAACTGTTACTTTGCCTCATCCTGGAAATGATTCTGTTCAACATCTTACAGGATTGGGTTTCTTAAAAAAAAAATTTAAATGAGTGTGTTTTATCACAGTTTCATAAAAAAGAATTCAAGTTGTATTCAAATTTACTTGCCATGAAATAATCTTTGGTTAATTTGAAGTACAATATGATACTGCTACTTTATGGATATGAAATTAAAAAATAACTATTGATATTGCAGAAGCTTGTCTAGGGTTTTAGTACACTTTTCATACTTTAACATTCCTTTTCTATAACTATCACTTCGAAGTACTGGTTGCTAATCAAAATTACAAAAGCTTTTTTTCAGTTTATTTCTTCCTCCGCTACAATGATGAATAATAATGGTAGCTCTGGTGAGGCTATTGATTTTTATTCCATTCTTGCTTTCCCAACAAGCTAAAATGATGAACAGGTATACAGATATCTGTTTAGACTTTTTTCTTTATAAGAGAAAATCAAAAAATCATTGCCAAAAGGAGATCTGTAAAAAATAGGCAAGAACAACTATTCATGTCTCCCAGCTTGAGGTTTGATGCCACAGGAAAAGGAGAAAGGTGAGTCAAAATAAAATGCCAAGGAAACAGAGCATTTTGTGTATTTTTTAAAACATATTTTCATTTTTAATATATTCTTGTTATAAGCAAACTTCAGTGCTCAAAATAGTGAAATTATGTGCTTATTCTTTACTCAGATCATTGAGCACATTTTTTCCTCTTCTACCTAACTACTGATTTGTAATTGTATGAATCCATCCATGAAATAAATCAATATTTCTGAAGAGGTTTACATAAATGAACTAATTCTACATGACATATTCAGTTCACGCCTACCCATTGCAGATGTGACTGAAATAGTATAAGTCAGCTAACGGGTGAGCTGAAATAGAATGTGTTTTGGTTTCTTCCTTTGTATAATATATAATCACAACTACTTACATTAAAAGAACCTTAATAAGTTTGCAGAGTCAAACACTCAAAAATAAGGAAATGCCAGAAGTAAGGTTGCCTGTGACACCTGAATTTAGCCTAATTGTGCATATGTATAATCGTAATTGATTAAATTTTTTTTCCACAGGTGCTTTGACTTATTCAGTGCAGTGGCTGGTGCTCCCTTAATTATTATATCTCAATATTGTGTTCTCCTCAGTGTTCAATATGTGGCTCTAAGCCTTATTACTTCAGTTTATTTCTTCATGAATTCTTCTGTGGTGCTCATCACTATAGTGTCTGAGTATTTTACAAATAATTATCTTCAGAACGCCTCTGGGAAGAGAAGGCATAGCATGTTTCACATTCTGCAGATGGGGAACTGAGGCGCTGAGATGAAGGTCAAAATAGCCACTAATTCTGAGAGCAGATTTTTTTAAAGAGTGCTTAACATTATAAAGCACTTACTCACGCACAGCTTTCATTTACTTCAGTTGCAGCTGTGAATGTGCAGCACTTCTGTAAATTAGGCCCCAGGACCGCAAGTGGGGCATCCAGAAAATGAATTCTTAATTACTGACCTCTCTGTGAATAGTTCTGGCTTATATGATAGCATCACACAAGAAGAGATCAAATCCAGTTCACCAGGATGGCATGTTGTTTCCCTTAACCACAAAACCCTCCTTTCTTTTACTGCAGTTTCCTCTTCATTCACTACATATCTTCCAACTTCTTCAACAATCGAGAAAGATGCTTCTACAGCAAAAAGCCTTTCTTTTTTTTTTATTAACAGCACAACTCTTATACAACCCCAGAGAAGAGGTCTTATGGAAAAAAATAGGGTGATCTTTGTAATTAAAGATTGTATTGTGCACAGGAAACTTATATTCTGGAATTTCCTATCTTTTGAGTGCTTGGTTTTATAACCTTAATAACATTATTTCAATGTAGTTATGTGTAGCAGTGTTCTTATGGCTCCCTGCCTTCAGTTCTAGTAGCTGACTGCTTTGAAGCCAGAAGCAGCAATTACCAGGAAAGTCCAGTTTCCCCCATAGCCTTGGACTGAAGAATCCTCAGTCACACTGTGGAAATGGTGCATATGCAGTCCAGTCAGCTACTAGAACAGGACTGGGCAACAATTTTTGACCGGGGGCCACTTTAGAAATTTTTGAAGTGGCCCTGGGCTGCCCTGGAAGGGGTGGGGCCTTAGGCAGAAGGGGCGAGGCCAGGATACTTCCATGCTTCCCCACCCACAGACCCTGATTGGTCTGGGGGTGGGAGAGTGCGCAAAGTCTTTACCTCCCGCAGAGAGAACCGCCAGCTCTAGTTACCTGTGCCCCTGGCAGTGGGAGGAGACTTCACATTCTTGCCCCTGCTGCCCTCAGGTCCATCAGGGCCTGGGAAGAGGAAGCACGTGAAGTCTCTTGCTCCCTGCCCACCCTGCAAGGGAGTGCCCTGCTTAGTCAACAGCCAGCTGAGCAGCAGCTAGCAGCTGACTTTAAATGCTGAGCCCTTTGCAGGGTAGGAGGAGACTTCACGTGCTCTCCCTGCCCCCAAACCAATCAGGGGTCTGAGGACAGGGGAAATGCACAAAGTCTTCTCCCGCGCTGCCAGGAACACGCAGTGCACTGCTTGTGGGGCGGGGGCAGGGTGGGAGGAGACTTTGCGTGCTTCCCCCTGCCCCCAGACCCTAATTGACATGGAGGTGGGGTTTGCAACAGGGCTTCCCCAGGCCTGATCAACTTGCTTGGTGGGCCGGATCCGGTCCGGGGAGGCCCTTTTGCCTACCCCTGTACTAGAAGCTAGGAGTTGTAAGCATGCCCAGTAAGGACAGAACCTTTAGAAACTTAAACTGTTAGGCTACGTATACACTGGCCCCTTCTCCGGAAGAGGCAAGCTAATTTCTAACTTTGGAATAGGGAAATCCACAGGGATTTAAATATCCCCCGTGGGATTTAAATAAACATGGCCGCCGCTTTTTTTCCGGCTTGGGGAAAGCCGGAAAAAAGCATCTAGACTGGCGCAATCCTCCGGAATAAAGCCCTTTTCCGGAGGATCTCTTATTCCTACTTGTAAGTAGGAATAAGAGATCCTTCAGAAAAGGGCTTTATTCCGGAGGATCACGCCAGTCTAGATGCTTTTTTCCGGCTTTTCCCCAAGCCGGAAAAAAAGTGGCGGCCATGTTTATTTAAATCCCCCGCGGATTTCCCTATTCCAAAGTTCTAAATTAGCATGCCTCTTCTGGAGAAGGGGCCAGTGTAGACGTAGCCTTAATCTAAGTTTCTACTGAGTATGTATGAATTGGGTCTGTGTTTTTCAAAGACTTGTCAGCCAGCACTTTGTTCCAAGGTATGGGAATACTGGAGCATTTCAAATCTCAAAAACTTAACAAATTATATATTTTACCTAGTCATGTTCTTGGAACCAGCCAAACCATTTTGGCTGACATTTCAAAAAATTCAGCCTATGGCAGACACACAGCATAAAAAACTTCAGCCCAGATGGTTTGTTTTGCAGTTAGATACTACTGAAAACAGAGCCCTACAATGGGAAATGTTGGGCAACCTAAATAGGTGGTGCTACCAGCACCACATTTAATACTTCTCTATTACAAAAGAGAAAATATTGATGGGGCTAGTTGGCTCTTTCCCCTTGTGCAGCAAAGGGAGGTTGCAAGGAGCTTCCCAATTCTTGGCCCCTTTCTTTCCCTTCTTGACAAGTTTCCTATATAAGTGATGCAGGAAGTGCACACATGCCTTTCATCCAGATAGATGTGATACTTGCAAACCTCCTCTTGGAATGGAAGAGGCAACAGAGAGAAGTCAAAGCCTTACTTCTTCTCTGTACCACTCCATGAAGCTGAGTGGGTGCAGAAAAACTTCATCTTAACATCAGGAAGCTAAGAGAGGGGGACTGAACTTTCTGAGGCATAATTCTTTTAGCTTCCAAGAGGTTAGATGGCTATTTACCACCCAAGTCACAATCTGGGCTTAAGTTTGTGAAAGGGACAGAAGGCATTTTCATTACAATATTCAGTACACAAACAAATACCCAGACAACATCCTCTTTTAGTAAACAAAATACAGGACTATGTAGCACTTTAAAGACTAACAAGATGGTTTATTAGATGATAAGCTTTTGTGGGCCAGACCCACTTCCTCAGATCAAATAGTGGAAGAAAATAGTCACAACCATATATATCAAAGGATATAATTAAAAAAAAATGAACACATATGAAAAGGACAAATCACATTTCAGAACAGAAGGGGAATGCGGGGGGGGGGAAGGAAGGTAAATGCCTGTGCGTTAATGATATTAGAGGTGGGGAAGGATAGATGTCTGTGAGTTAATGGTATTAGAGGTGATAATTGGGGAAGCTATCTTTGTAATGGGTAAGGTAGTTGGGGTCTTTGTTCAGCCCCCCGCAGAGAGTGTCGAATTTTATCATGAATGCCAGTTCAGAGGATTCCCTTTCAAGTGCAGATTTGAAAGTCTTCTGAAGTAAGATGCATGTGATTAGGTCATTGAGACAGTGTCCTTTCTGGTTGAAATGGCAAGAAACTGTTTTTTCTTTGTGATCCTGTCTAATGTCTGTAACATGAATGTAATTAATTAATGTAACTCACATGCATTTACCTTCCTTCCCCCTTCTGTTCTGAAATGTGATTTGTCCTTTTCATATGTGTTCATCTTCAGTGTCCACACAACCTCAATTTTTAAATTTTCATTCAAAAGATTCTCCCTCTTCTCCATTTGCAGTAAACTGTATGGTACTCAAACGAGCTATGTGGAAGAATAAAGAGTTTAGATTCTTTTGCCAGGATTCAAATTCTCAGTTCTTGGTAATGCACATATTTCAAAACCAAAATCTTTTACAAAAGAATCTAGGGAAGGAAAAAATGTTTTTAAATGTTACCCAGATATATTTCAAACAGTCAAATTTCATACCTAACAATGAACTTCAAAATGACATGGCTACAGAGAAAGTACTACCGAAAAACCAAAACCAGCTTTCATCAAATTCCTGGTTTGATCCTATGTCCCATAGCTGTTCATTCCACATTTGTTCTACCCAACAACTACTGTTTCTTTGGCTTTCCAGAAATTACATCTTGCAGGAATAGGCAATCAATTTTATACCTTGTTTCTTAAGTTAAGAAAAATCTAGCCAGTTCTTCTATACAGCTGTGCTTTCAGTCAAGGATTCTTAATCATGTTAGCTTTGATCTGTGTCTCCAACATTTCCACACTAATTGGCATATTTTTTTCTTTATACATGCTACCCAAAATGCTGGATAAACACCCGTTTCTCAGGCTGAATCACTTAAGATCCTTTTCTGTTTGTGCTACTCCTTCTTAATTTAAATTAAACAAGCACAGAAATGGTTTCCCTGCCTTGTCAAAATTACAAAAAAAAACTTTCCATTTATTTTTGAACAGATTAAATTTAACATAGTATGGTACTGTATTCGGTTTTGGTGGGAGAGGAGGTATGTCTACACTGCAGAGGTTTTTTGGGAAAATGGCCGGTTTTCCAGAAAAACTTCACTTACGTCCACACTGTAATCACATTTTTTCCACAAAAAGTCAAAAGAACGGAGGGGTTTTTCCGACAACAGTAAACCTCTTTCTATGAGGAAGAAGCCTTTTTCCGAAAGAGCTGTTTCAGGAAAAGGCATATGTGGATGGGGAAGAGGGAGTTCTTTTGAAAGAAGAGGGAAGAGGAAAAACACAGGTGCCCTGGTGGCCACTCCATCCATAGTAATCACAGCTTAAATGTGAGATAGCGTCCACACTGAATGGATGCTATCTTTTGAAAAAGCAGATCACTTTTTCAATGCGCTTTTGCTGTGCTGACACTCACTTTCGAAAAGTTTTTCCGGAAGCTCTCTTCCGGAAAAGCTTCTTGTGAAAGAAGCCTGCAGTTTAGACATAGGGTCACTCCTGCTGCTACTGGATTGCATTCTTCTCTCTCCAAATGTAATGTTTGGCTGACTGGTCAGTTCATACCTCTGGTGTTTGTAATGCTGAGGTTCTACCGTAGTTTAAAAAAGTAATCAGAGTTTGATCAGGCAAAAAACCTGAGGACCTTATTCTTCCCTATTGGCACTTAAAGTAAATGAATGGCCAGATTTTCAAAAAAGCTCAGGATTCAGCATCACCTTTGAGCTCCCATTCCAATTCTCCCTGAGAACAAACTGGCCGTAATTTATTAATCTAATGGGAGCAAAGCTTTCTTGAGAATTTGACCATTTATTTGGATGCTGGATGAAGGCTCACCTCTTTTGCATCTCTGAGTTCAAACTAAATAGTGAAAAGAAATGAAATGAAATGAAAAAGTGGAAGTTCGTTTGAAAAAGCAATGCCTCAAAAGTTCCCTCCCTCCTCTACTGCCTTAGGCCTCTCATTGTTAATTCATACAGTGCTTCTCCACAACTTCTCATGAATTAATAACGCTAAAGATACTGTTCTTCAAAGGACCTCAAACTTTCCAAATATTTACATTTTTACAACACCCAAGCAAGGAAGGTACATTCAGTGCCGGACCGAGCCATAGTTGCACCCCGAACAGCGGGCACACGGCGCATGCACAGCCCGGCCCTGGGCACGTAGCACATGCATGGCTCCGCCCCCAGGCGTGCAGCACCCCTTACAACTTCAATCATGCACCCCCTCATAAGTTGGCGCCCCAGGCAGCTGCCCGGCTAGCCCCCCGCCCCCCTTAATCCGGTCCTGGGTACATGAAACAATTATAATGATATTTAGAAATATTGAAATTACTAAGATAAAAATTGGATAACATATGCATATTCTAGGAGATTCCTAAATTATGTAGGACAAAAGCTTTATGATCCAAAGAATTGAGGCTACAAACAGAGGCTCTATACTTACCAATATATAGCAATCGATTGATAACATGAAAATAGAAAAAATCAGAACCTTGAACCATTATCTTCTCCTGGACAGAGTAAGAACTTGTCAGCTGTACACTTCTATCCTAACAGTACGCAAATCTACTGGTATATAACTGACTTTGAGCAATACAGAAATCTCTCGTGTGTAAATACTACATTATTGATGTAGAGAAATGGAACACTGTATATTGAATAGAAAATCAAAAGCAATGTCCTGCAGCAGAAAGACTATGCTACATATATACTGAAAATGGATGCTTTGACATTGATCTAATATCAAGGGCATGTAATATAAAGAAATTTTAAATTCTCTTTAGAGAGACTGCATAGTATTTATTTCTTCAGTTTTCTGTACATAAACAGCTGCCAACTAAAGGCTTGTCTCCCATGCACCTTCTATTATTGCTAATAAATAGGGCATGTTCATGAGCAGTTCACCTCTTTCACCATGAAGTTCCAAATGGCTGCTGAGTACAATATAGCAACAGCCATGAAGTCCCAGGTTGCAGGTGTGTTATTGTGCTTACACTACTGGTGCCCATATGATAGCCATTCCTAAATGTCTGTAATGCACTTTGAGCTTGGGGGAATGCACTCTAGGAGGGCTGATTGCTACTACATTGTTACCAATGTAATACATTTTTTGTACCAGCTTTTTGGTTGATTTTGGATTCTATTCATGATGTCTCCTTTAATATACAAAGCCCTACAGGGCTTCAGGCCAAGCTTATATCTCTCTTCCTATGGACTGTCTCAATGGCTGATGGCAGCAAGGATAGTCTATTTGAAAATACCAAGATTTGAATTCCTGAGGCGTGAAGAGAGGAGTTTTTAGGGAAAGGTCCTCCACTGAGGAACTTGTTTCCTCCAAAAGTCTCCAGGAACTGGAATTTTACCTCCATGTAACAGCCAAGGTTTTGGAAATACTGAATATCTGCTGGAAGATGGGTAGGAACTTTAGCTGCCTCTGACCTACACAGCATCTCTTAGATTCATGTTCATGTTGCGTTCATCTGTAAATCACAATGCCTCCATGACGTTCTGTACTGGAGGAAAATATACTCTTCAGTGAAGAAACTGATGTCCTGTGTGTTTGGAAAGCATATGGCACATTTTGGTCACCAGTGTAATATAATCAGTAGGTAATTCAGAATGCAATATAATGCTTTATGACAGACACTCAGACTATATAAACTTTCTCCATCATGTGCATTTGGAGACCAACCAATATATGACTCTTATGGTAGCCAATTTGATCAGCAATGTTTTGATTATAGTGTCTGTTGTGCATCTAAAAGCAACCCCAATAGGCATATAGTAAACTACTTAAGTGACATGCAGGAAAACACACTTCATTTGAAATATTCAAATCAGTAAGTGAAGAAATAAATATGTATTTTGAGTAATGCAAAGTTTCTTCACAGACTTTGTGCACTCTGAGAGCTTGGCAACCACCCTTAACTTGTTTTTTCTTTTCTCCTGCAGCTCCATGCTCAGGCAGCACTTACTTTTGCCATAGCAACATGTGCATCAATAATTCTTTGGTCTGCAATGGCATTCAAAACTGTGCATACCCTTGGGATGAAAATCACTGCAAAGGTGAATATAGTTCAACACACAACCTTAATGACCAGGATGGTCAGTTTGCCTTTCATTTAAGAAAAACATTAATAAAATGTCTTTTCTTGCAAATGTGTGGAAGACAGCTATTTAATTAAAAATGAAGAAGTCCATGAGCAGGGTTGAAGGATGTACCTGCCCTATAGTTGAAATATCTCATGCCCTTCACAAAGGGTATTTTAAACTGTAAACAGAGCACTAGCCTACTGTATTTGCCTGGTTTCTACTGTTACTGTCCATTCCTAAATCTTGATGCCTTGTGCAGGAAAATCCTTGTTTTTTGAAAGAGTCCCCTTTGTTAGTGTGAAAATGTAATTACCAAGCTAAAATGTATCTTTTCACAGAATATTTGTTTTATTTATTCTAATTAACAAAACTAATTAGTCACTTGCAAGTTTCCATCATAAAGCCTGCTCCATCTGAAGCACTGTCTATGCTAGTATTGTACACATTCCCAACAGAAAGGGGTTTCTGAAATGTTTGCCTTAACTGAAGATTGTTTTCTGAAATATGCACCTTTCCTAGAATCCTTTATAAACCCAGTGCACTGTGTGAGACTTATTTATTAAATATATGGCAACAAATTGATGCTACCATGCTCAGCATTTACATGTGTACTAAATTGGCCATTATGGTTCATTTTAGCTTTAGACATGAACAGAATTGTTTGTACCTAACATCACCTCTCCCACCCTCAAAAGAAAACCCAAAATGTAATAAATATTTTTACTGTTTTCTAATGAATATTATGTTCTATTCATACACATCTTTTAGTCATTCAGGGACATGTACTTCTTCCAGAGCAAAACATTTGTCTCTAAAAGTGGCACCTTAGAGATTAACATTTATTAGGGCACAAGCTTTTGTGGGAAACCCCCCCTTCATCGGATGAATTGGAATGGAAATAACAAAGGCAGGTGTGTGTATGTATTATATTAAAAGTACTAGATAAATATATCCCTTCCTTTCTTATACAAGTGGAGAACCAGTGTTAACCAGGCTAATTCAGTCAGGGTGGATATGGCTTACTCACAGCAGCTGATGGAGTGGTGTGAATATAAAAGAGAGGAGTAAATTGCCTTTGTAGTGAGATTACAAATCTAAATCCTTAGTTAGTCCTAATTTGATTGTATTGAATTTGAAAGTGAATTGCAGCTCTGCTGTTTCTCTTTGTAGGCCGGTTTTGAAACATTTTTTGTTGTTTGGGTGGGGTTTTTGTTTTTTGGTTTTTTTTGTAATCCATTACTGAATGTCCAGGAAGATTAAACCACTAGGAGAATACTTTATGTATGTTGCCTTTCTTGATATCTGATTTGTGTCCATTTATCCGTGAGGCACAGACTGTCCAGTTTGGCTAATATACAGGGCAGAAGGACTTTGCTGGCATATGTGCAAGTAGATGAGCCACGATGGTGTGGCTTATGTGGTTCAGTCCTGTGATGGTGTTACTTGAATAGATGTGTACAGAATTGGCAATGGAGTTTGTTGCAGGAATAGGTTCCTGGGTAAGTGTGTGGTTGCTGGTGAGAATTTGGTTGAGGTTGGTGGGGGAGGGCTGTCTATAGCCATGGACCAGCTCTCTTCCAAGGTCCGTGAGAGCGAGGGATCATTTTCCAGGATATGTTATAGATTGTCAATGATCCACTGGAGGGATTTTACCTGGGATTGATGGGACTAAGCAGGAGTATTCTGTTATTTTCTTGTTGAGCCTGTCCTGAAGTAGGTGACTTCTGTGTACTCCTCGTTATTTTGCAGATTTAGCTCTGCTTCCCTTTGAGGCTTGTCTCTAAAAGTGTGGGAAACCTGCTGTAAGCAGATACTGCCATCTTCTGTACTTTCATAGGAGCTGCTATCAAGTAATTTTTAACTGATCTTATGACATCATGGCCTGTTAAATAACTTGCAACTCAATATGTAGGTACTGTTCAGTCCAGTCACGAAGCCATTTAGTGGAGTCAAGATAAAGAGTATGGTGGGATTTTTGTATATTGATTTTGTTGTTATTTTAAAGGACTAAGTTTGGGGCCTGATTTTTCCTCCATTAAAATGAGAATTTTGCCATTGGCAACAATGGGAGTAGACCTGGGCCCTTTGTATATGAGCATTTGTAGTTATGCAAAATAAAGTAATGATATGCAGTTTAATCAAATTTTAGATTTCAGAATGTAAACTCATTACCACAAGGGTCAGGAAGGAACTCACACCTCAACAAAGTAGGTATGTGGCTGAATTAGAGGGGTCCCACCAGCCTCTGAAGGTTTTCTACTGCTGAAAGCTGAAACGCTGTGCTGATTTTAATATGGAAAAGCCCACAAAACTTATACATTCATTAATGTTCTAATATAACTTCTTTCCTAAAAATAGAGCCATATACTGCTCTTCAATGTTTGTGTGAATCTCAGGGAAAACTGCACACATTTATCTGAGGGCAGAGCATGGAAAACTTGTCAGAAATTGCACACTGTGAAATTAGCTCAGTTCTACAGTCTTTGCTCGGCTCTTGTGAAACAAAACTTAATTCCGACTAGTGAGTTTCATCTGAGGAAGGACTAATACTTCAAACATACAGGGCCAAATTCTGCTCTGACTCCTAGGGATCTCAGTGTCCATTAAGAAGCCTATTCTTAATTAATAAACATTTGCACACACATGAGTGACATCACAGAATATGACCTGCTCTGCCATTTACACTTCTCATTAACTTAAATCTTTACATACAAAGTCAAAACTAAAATTTTACCAAATTATTTTTGATCAGCTATTGTAGACAGACTCAAAAGCCCACCCTTTCTCTCTCTTTTTTTTTTTTTCCAGAGAAGAGAAAAACTGGACTGTTTGAACAAATCACCAAAACTCATGGAACCATCATCGGAATTACTTCAGGGATAGTTTTGGTTCTTCTCATAATTTCAATTCTGGTGCAAGTAAAGCAGCCTCGCAAAAAGGTTATGGCTTGCAAAACTGCTTTTAATAAAACTGGCTTCCAAGAAGTATTTGATCCTCCACATTATGAACTGTTCTCCTTAAGGGATAAAGAGATTTCTACAGACTTGGCTGACTTATCTGAAGAACTTGAGAACTATCAGAAAATGAGACGTTCCTCTACTGCTTCAAGATGTATTCATGACCATCACTGTGGCTCTCAAGCCTCCTGTATAAAACAAAGCAGGACCAACCTCAGTTCCATGGAACTTCCTTTCCGCAATGATTTTGCACAGCCTCAGCCGATGAAAACATTTAATAGCACCTTCAAGAAAAGTAGTTACACATTTAAACAGGCCCATGACTGCCCTGAGCAGGTAATAGAAGACAGGGTGATGGAGGAGATTCCTTGTGAAATTTATGTGAGAGGACGAGAGGATACTGCACAAGGCTCATTATCCATTGACTTTTAGTCTCCTGCTAAAGGTGAAATTGGTATGTGTATATCTGACACACAATGTGTATATATAAAAATATACCATATGTAGTGTGTATAGGTATACACACTTTTTAGCTTACTGTATCCAGTTCATTTTTTAAAAGAAAAATCTTCATAACCAATAACCGTTGCAATGGCCACTTTGGTTGAACAACAAGCCAGAAGGTTTTGCATGGAACTATTAAAAATATTTTTTCTAAATCTAAAAATGACTAGATTTTTCTTCCCTCCCTTTAGAATTATTTTTCCTTTCACTTTCTTAAATAGTTTTCAGACCAATAGTTTTAATGAGCTTACATATTTTGACACAGATGTCTTATCATACTTATCAAATTGCAGCTAGAGTTACTATGGCAAGTGCCAATTAAGACAAGTTATGCTGCATCCATCTGTTGCATCTTGACTAGTTTTTATATTACTGCCTTTTAATTATTGGCTCCCTTATACAGTGTTCTGTGAGAAATAAGTGAAATAGTCTATTGTCTTTTAATAGTTAGTGTTTTATCTTAGCTATATTCATTTTAACATTTTTTGGAATACAGCCAGTCCCCAAGTTACGAACGCATCAACTTACGACCGTTCGTAGTTACGACCAACTCCCATTAAGCGCATTACAGCCAGTCCCAGAGTTACGAATGCGATCCACGCTTACAAACAGCGTGGCCGTCTTTAAATGAATGGGGTCCGACTTACGAACAGATCGAATTACGACCAAGTGTTTGGTATGTAACTCATTCGTAAGTTGGGAACCGGCTGTGTATCGTCTTTTCAACTTGTGGATAAAATTTAAGTAATTCACAAGTATGTCTTTCGATTTTTAGACACTGACTTTACACAATGGCTTCTTTCAGGAAGATGTCAGTTTTCAAAAGTATAGGGTGGGCCAAATTCTGACATGTTACAGCCATGCAATTCCATTGATTTCATAGATCTGTAATTAAACCTCTGGGTTTTTTTCCTACTACTTGCATAAAGAAACTCCATTGAGTGTTTTGTACATTTGTCTCCTGTAGTGATCCTAATCCTGTATTCCCCCTGTTGAAATCCATGATTGATAGTATCAGTTGGTATCTTAATTGCATGAAAAGTACAGAATGAAACCTGCTATATGTTACACTTTGAGATCTATGTGATAACTAAGGTGTATGAAAAGGCCCTGGGGACAAAGAGAAATCTGAAAATAACTGAAAGAGCCTTTTAAGGCTTCTTACTTAAGGCTTCTTACTTGAGACTATCACATTTTTCTAGCACTTATTTCCATGCTGCAAAATTGCCTACTTCAAAACTTTTTTTTAAACTGCAGGTTAGAACTCGTTTTGTTTTTTCAGCACAAGACAGCTTGTAAAATAACAGTTCTCATGGGTTTTTTTAGACTTTTGATATAATTTGATACTATACAAACTGTTTATTAAATCAAGATGCAACGCCTGTACAGTGAGCCTCTTTCAGTGTCCCCATTAGCAGCACTGAATAACAACAGTCAGTGAGTGGTGTGCACATTGTAACTTGTAAAGAATACTTAATGACATGCATTAGCCATTTTAATCCATGATTTGTTTGGGTTTACTTTTTGTTTTTGTTTGTTTACAGGAACTGTTACTATTTCACTAAATGTGACCTTACAACTCTGTTACTGGACATATCCTGTATTAAGAAATGTACATAAAGACAAATTATCATAAGTTTTTTTTTTGTTGTGCTGACTGCAATCTGCAATGAAATTTAATTCAGTTACTGGAGGTTTCTGCACTACAAGGACATATCAGTTGCTGGGAATGTATGTAAAACAGACTTTTTCCTTTTTAAGATTAAAACAAACTGCAATTGTAATTGCTGGCTTCCGGTAAGGGTAAGTGAGAAGCAAAATGCTACTATCGTGCTTAGAGCATAATGTGTAAAGTATACAAAAGAATTGTGTGGCTTCAGCTCCCATTGACTGCAGAGATTAAAGGGCATTTGGCCCTTTGAAAGAACTTGCTGAGCAGTTTGCAGCAGCAGACTTTTAAGGTCCTATCCCATCATTAGTTAAATAAATTTGTGCCAAAACCCTTTTTCTCCCCCAAAAAAACCCAATTCTCACTGAAATTTTTTGAAGATATTTTTCTGAGCTTTTTCATAAAATCCAACAAAATTATTAACTGGCTTCTCCATTTTCTGCAGTAAGAAATACTTTGCAATGGTCAATGGCATGATAGGGCCATTTGGGAACCAAACCATCACCAAGCAGTCTGATTTTTAAATGAGAATTAATGACATGACTAAGGATTATTTATGTAAACAAGGGTTGCAGCAGCATGTCAAATTATTTTGGCTATATGTGAACGTCTCCCCTATAGGCTGATGGCTTTGTACCACTCTGACAGCAGAGACTAGTTGTGAAGACATCCCAAAATACCCATCTGGAGGAGAAGTGACTTCTCCTAAAGGTCATCCTGAAGTGCATGAATGTCTTTCCATTTCCAGACCCTTATGCCTATGAGCATCCTGCTGTAACTTTCCAAACAAAAAATGAACTGGGTCCTGAAGCAGGGAGCTGCAAAGGTGACAAAGTCACATTATTCCCCTATTCATCCCCATTTCTGATTCAAAACAGCACAACAAAACAATAGAATCTGGGCCTTAGAGTGTCTCCAGCTTTCCTCTAGAGTTAATGGAGAATCTACCCCTGATTCCAGTGGAAGCGGGATCAAACCATAATGTGGTGATAACAACAGTACTGTCTTTTAATCCTGATAGGGTACAATTTGATGGTGGGGAATAAAACTATTATTTCTGTCCCCTTATTGCAATGGAGGTTTATTTTGTTAGGAACACTAATTCTCTGTTTGGCTTGTTACAAGTAGGTTGAAGTTGATACTGAACCCAAGAATGAGAACATTGGTTAGAAATGGTATTTGTCAAGCTATCAAAGCAATGCAATGCAATTGGGCTTAATTTACTTAACATAGACTGACAGTAAATGAAAGTGTGCAGATATTCATTGAAATGTTATCTCTATGATTTTCAGCTGTCTTAAGAAAATAACAGTATTTATATCATCCTGAATTCAATTTCTCATGAAACAAAACACTAGCACTAAAGAAAAATGTTAAGTGCAGAGATTGGGTGGTATCCTTCAGAATGCTGAGAACAGCCCTTGGAAAAGAGAATCCACCTTCTTGGGTTAAGATTTTAGACTTAGAGGTAGTTAACAATAAGCATTTCAGAAGCTGCTTTTGGCTTTAGTAGAAAAGCAACTTTCTGGGTGTTTAAGAGCTCTAAGATCCCATAATTACTATTCTCACCCTCTCTCCTCTTTACCTGTGCCTGCACTATTTTTTTTTCTCCTCCGTATGTGTGTCATGTACAAACAGGGTCATCATTTGGCCAAATACGAATGTTTCTCCAGACATTCAGCAGTCATCCACTGAAAGGGGTACAGGGAAGTGTATAGCTATGATTCATCATGACACTGATGCTGAAGTGCCACAGGATTAACTCCAATTTGACACAGAGATTGGCTCTTAAATGCTGCAGCATTTCCAGGACCACAGAAATCTTAATTAGTACAAGGTAAAAGTGTGAGTCATTCTTTACAATATGAAGACCACATTCTTCCTGTATACTAAGTACAAGGGACCAGTATCCATATTGTCAAATGCCTTCAACACACTCCAAACCAAAAGTGATGGAAAAACTATCATTTGCATACAAAAATATTCTTTAACAACATTCATGCCAAAATTCACATCATTCCTATGTGCTGAAAAGCACATTTTATCCATCTGGACAGTTAAGAGAGTCCCCTCTATATATCAGCAGTACAGCTTCTGTTCACTCAAGGAAAAGACACTGTATTCTAAAACACATTTATTCTTTTAAGTCATACATTGTGTCACTGATGGATTGCTCAACTTTCCTATTTAGATAAAGTGCTATGACACATACATTCTCTAATGATTATATGTTCCACAAACATCCAAGTAGTGATTCTTCCTGGTACCTGACAAGCCAGAACAAAGTTGGGACTAGAGCAGTGTGAAATTCAGACTTCAGTTCAGAAGGCCTCAAGCAAATATTTTATTCAACTTTGATCCTCCTTTATTTTCAACCCTACTTATCAGATTCAGATGCACTCAAGCCAAAATTTAGACAAAGACACTTTCGCTCATATGGTTTTGACACACATCCATGCGTCAGCAAATGAAACCATGCTTTTGCCAAATAAAAGTTTCCAGTCTCTAATAAACTCTACACAAGTTTTACATGTTCTAAATGTGACCCGTTGGAACAGTTAAGTAATTTACATATTTTAATACTATATACATGTATCTATAAAAAACTCTCATCTGTCTATTCCTACTTTGAATGTGATTATTTGTCATCAGTTTGTGAGCTTGTAATACAGAGAGAGAGAGAGCTACAAGGTTTTGCTTTTGTGATGATCTTTTCTCTCCCCTAACTGTTGCTAAAGTGGATAAATGCAGAAAAAAAAGGAGTCCAGTACACTATGTAGTTTGTATGTAGTAGGAGATCAGTCTATCCATGAAAGTGAAAGGCTATTTTCATTCGGTTTCGTTTGCTTCACTCCATTTTGTAGAATCAGCTTAACTAAATCTGTTTCCCATCTGCCTTTATATATCACTACTAACAACAATAATTTCTGAATTCTCAATGTGTTATTCTTTATCCAGCCACTGTTGATAATCCAAAATACAGCAGATAAAACAGCTTAATTTCCGTAAGCCTATTTGATCCTGTACAGTCAAGCTTGGAGACAAACAAAGCAAAGACCTGATGTCTATGTATGTTTTTCTATTATCAATGTGTCATTTCTACTAGTGATTTTAATCAAAGAAATGCATACTGTTTACGGGCCAGATCTGAACAGGGAAAGCAAAGTGCAGTGACAAACCTACAAACAGGTACATACACATTCCAAGATAAATGTTAACAGATGCTAGGTTTTGGTTGACTGCTGCCCCATATGCAGTCAGGTATAACTCCTGGCTCCTCTTCCATAACTATAAGGGGGATTGTATCTACAAGTTGTTGCTTAACTACTGCCTATAATAGATACATAAATGCATGAGGCCAGATTCTCTTCCTGTTCAACCCTCTTTGCACCGCACTTCTGGAGCAAGGAGTGAAGGAAGCAGCAAGTACTGCCCCCTCACCCACAGTCCTCCAGGAATACTCAGAGAGTGGAGACTTGCATCAGTCTGAAAAGATGGTAGACACATGGCATTTCTCTTTACTGTTATAGGCCAGGTTACTTTAGCTCTGCTCCTGAAAACTCAGTCTGACCCAAAAGGGTTGTTTCCAAAAACCACTTCAATTGAGTCACATTTTAGAAGCAGTTCTCTCAGGTTTTACTTCAACTTTAGAACTGCTGTGTCTTAGCTGGGTCAGTTCCAAAGGGTCTGAAAATAGCTCACACTCTATCCTGCCAGAAAGACACGGAGCAGAGGGAACTCAGGGTATGTCTACACTACAGCGCTAATTCGAACTAATCAACTTTAGAACTGCTGTGTCTTAGCTGGGTCAGTTCTAAAGGGTCTGAAAATAGCTCACACTCTATCCTGCCAGAAAGACACGGAGCAGAGGGAACTCAGGGTATGTCTACACTACAGCGCTAATTCGAACTAA